CTTCACAGTTTGGATGAGGTTGGGATATCCGTTGACATTAGCAGAAGGGTTGTCCTTGGTGAACACCATTAATACAACTTTGTCAGTAGATATATCTGTGCAACTGTTTTCGTCATCTTTCTGGGGTGAGGCTCTATCCTCCATGATGTCTTCATAATCTGAATTTTTACGAAAGTGTACATAGGTATTTAAAATTTTGGTGAGGTTAAAGACTTTCCAGGAGCCACCCATTACTCTGGAGGAATCAACGTGAAAAGACTTGAGAAGCAGCCTCTTGGAACCTTGCTTGCTGTGGTAGATATGCAGTGTCATCTCTTTTGTGTTCTCTAAAGGAGGAAGTTGAATCCGTAACTCTGCCAATCGAACCTCATTACTGCTTGAGAGGGAGGACATGTCAAAGTGGAGTGATCGATGATTGTCCATCCTGGTGCATCCTGAGGAAGAAACAACAAAAAAAATGACAAATATAATTATAATTATAAATAGACATACTTAGTTATTACAATATATAAACCTGTGATAAAAATACACAATTATATTGTTATACAAAAGCGAATATGGCATATATGAGGCACATAAGGAATGTTATAAGGAAGACTAAGACATTACAAAAACACTTACCTTTACATTACTTCCACCACTGTTAAATGATCAGCTATAATAAATTAAATTGCCCTTCATTGAAATGCCTAGCACAAAAGCAGTCTTTGAACCTGTTCTATGTCTTCTCTGTGGAAGATTATGTAGCCCATCAAAAATGAAACTATCATTACATTTAGGTAATAAGTAAAGCAGCATGTTATATGGGAAAATATATTAGTAACAGTTTTGTACTTACTTTTGGCAGTAAGGCTTAGGATGGTGTCTGAATCTTGAAGGACAGAATGTTCCAGGCTGGACAGACCTGTGTTGTTCCCCATAATGAGGATCTGATAGAGCTGCATCATGAATGGTGAGTACTTCATATTTTGAGAGTATACTTGTCCATCAAGACTGCTTGAATTTCTTAATCCATGGTTAGATTGTTGAAGAGGAATTCTTTTTTGATTTCTTTGCATAAAAGTTGGCAATCCCTGTACCATGGAGATGGTTGTGAGGTAGAGGATGGCATTCAGCCAGGTCATTTCTTCTCAGATTTGCTGCACCCTCTCTTGATTTGTAATGTCTCCGGAGATGTTCCTCAGAAGATCTGCAAGACTGAAGTGAGGTCCTTAGAATTCCCTCATTTTTTATATGGTTGGATGAAAGGGTTCGATGTTCACACCTATGACCTTTCATGTCATTGACCTCAACATCAAAGGCTGTCAATGTAATGTCAGGTGTCAAGGCATCCTTTCATGTTAGTAAAACATGCACAATATCCTATGGGCTAACTATGCATTATTTAAATGGGGTATAATAATCTGTTGATAGTATCTAGTAAACAGAAACTAGGATAATATTTTAATGTAGAAACTGAAACTTTGTCAGGAAGTATTGTGTCATATATTTTTTATATATACAGATTTGCAATGTCTCAGGAGATTTTCCTCAGAAGATCTGAAAGACTGAAGTGAGGTCCTTACAATTCTCAAACTTTTTATATGGTTGGATGAAAAGGTTTGATGTTTACACCTATGAACTTTCATTTCATTGTCTTCAACATCAAACGCTGTCAAGGCAGTGCCAGATCTAGCCTGTCTGCTTTGGGGGTGCAGTAAAAAATGTCAGGGGGGCAGAGGATGCTAGGTCAGCAGGGCAGAGGATAGGGTCAGCAGTTTGTAGGGCAGTATACAGGTGGTTATCAAAGCAGTGTATAGGAGGCAGCAGGGCAGTGTTGAGTGGGTCAGAAGGGCAGAGGATGAGATGTAGGGCAGTGTACAAGAGTCTGTAGGACAGAGTACAGGTGGTTAGTAGGGCAGAGGATAAGGGTCAGCGGGGTAGAAGACAGGGGTCAGTAAGTCAGAAGACAAGGGGCAGCAGGGCAGGGTACAAGGGGTTATCAGGTAAGAAAACAGGGAAAGGCAGAAAGGAAGGACAGGATCATGTCTGGCAGAGCACTCAGCAGAGCTCCTCCTTTCCTGCGCTGCTCAGAACCTGGGCACTCAGCAGTGCTCCTCCTTCCCTGCGCTGCTCACAGTCCGGACACTCTGCAGAGCTCCTCCTTCCCTGTGCTGCTCATAACCCGGGCACTCAGCAAAGCTCCTCCTTCCTTGCGCTGCTCACAGCCCGGGCACTCAGCAAAGCTCCTCCTTCCCTGCGCTGCTCAGAACCCGGGCACTCAGCAGAGCTCCTCCTTCCCTGCGCTGCTCAGAACCTGGGCACTCAGCAGTGTTCCTCCTTCCCTGCGCTGCTCACAGCCTGGGCACTCAGCAGTGTTCCTCCTTCCCTGCGCTGCTCACAGCCCAGGCACTCAGCAGAGCGTCTCCTTCCCTGTGCTGCTCATAACCTGGGCACTCAGCAAAGCTCCTCCTTCCCTGCGCTGCTCACAGCCCGGGCACTCAGCAGAGCTCCTCCTTCCCTGCGCTGCTCACAGCCCGGGCACTCAACAGAGCTCCTTCTACCCTGCGTTGCTCACAGCCTGGGCACTCAGCAGATCTCCTCCATAAACTCCACACAGCATACACCTGAGATCGGATTCTCTTACAGACTGATCTGCACTGTGTGTATGTTGCTACTACAGCTACACTGCCATTCTAATCAAGGAATTTCACAGGTTAGAACTGTGATATAGCAGCCAGCTATGCTCTGTGTAGATGGAGGCTGTGTCTGTAAAGGTTATCTAGTGCTTACGGCGAAGACAACAAACTGCCCCCCCCATGTGTGAGCATTATGTCTCAGCATAAAAAAAAGGAAAACAACACTTATCAGCACGCTCACCCCCCTAAGCAAAAATTACCTCTGCAAGCTATAATTCTCCCCAATCAGAAATGCAAACATTTCTCCTCCTCCCCCTCTACATCCCCCCTCAGCAAAAATCTTTGCCACCCCCCATCCCACCTCTTAGCTTAAATCCCCCCCCAATTTCCCCCCCGGCACTAATCTACCTCACCAAGAAACTCAACCCCCCCCCCACATACATCCTCTTTCTTCTCAAATTTCTCATTCTAGCACAAATTCCCTCCAGCAAATCTCTCCTCCCAGCACATACCCCCCCCCCCCCCAAATTCCCCCTCCTAGCATAACTCTCCCCATCCTAGCCCAAATCCTCCACCCATTCCTAGCTCAACCCCCCCATTCTCCTTTTGGACCAGTTCCCCCTCATCCCCCCTCCCAGCAGAAATCCTCACCCCCAAATCAATTGCCCTTCCAGCACAAATCCTCTCCCACATATCCCCCCCCCTCCTAGCATAAATCCTCCAATACCACCTCTTAGCACAAATCCCCCCTCTTAGCCCAAATCCCCCCACCCCTTCCTTGCTCAACTCCCCCATTCCCCCACGTAGACCAATTCCCCCTCATCCCCCCTCCTAGCAAAAAATCCTCACCCCCAAATCAAACACCCTCACAGCAAAACTCCTCTCTACCCCCCCCAGAACAAATCCTCTCACACAAATCCCCCCTCCTAGTATAAATCCCCCACCCATACCCCCTTATCACACAAATCTTTCCCTCCAAGGTAAAATACCCCTCTTAGCCCAAATCCCCCCAATCTCCCCTTCTAGCATAACTCCCCCCATTGTATACAATTCCCCTGCCATGAGGTCCCCTCCCCAACCCTCCGGGAGCTGTGAGCCATGCTATGCTCTCCCATCCTGTCATTAGAGAGCTCCTCTATACAGCAGATGAGAATGGATCGCTCTTGGATCGTTCACACTCCTTTCTCACCTGCAAACTATATCCTGGCAGCAGAACATGTGGGTAGTGGGTGGGTACAGTCGGTGTACAGCCCGATTTCAGAGCGACCCCTTCCCATCTGCTGTATAGAGCGGCGCTCTAATGACAGGAAGGAAGAATACAGCATGGCTCACAATCTGCCCGCTCTCTGCAGCTGTCATTGGTCCTGTCACTTTTACTACACTGTACCACGCTGCCCTCCTCTTCTTCCAGCCCTGAGTGCGAGGATTGGGAGAGGGGCTCATCAGCCAGGCAAAATGTCAGCCTGGGAGGGTGCAACTGAATTCTGGGGGGCACAGCCCACCCCAGCACCTCCCTAGATCCGGCTGTGTGTCAAGGTAACATCAGGTGTCAAGTCATCCTTTCATGTTAGTAGTAACATGTGGACAAACTCCTATGAGTTAATAATGCATTATCTAAATGAGATATAATATGTTGATAGTATCCAGTAAACAGAAGCTATGATAGCATTTTAGTGCAGCAACTGAAACTTTGTCAGTAAGTATTGTATCATATTTTCTATATATATATATTGTATATATATATTTTTTTCTTTTTTAATATTTTATTATATGATATTATATTATATTCTGTTTTCTGTAAGTGAATGGGGCAAATATTTGTTTGATAGCATTTTGAGTTTGTAAGGCCTTACTTTTAAACATTATATCATGACGAGTGTTAGCTTATTTAAAGCACACTACCTGTATATCACATTGTTATTAGTTTTTTGAACATTCAATCAAACTATTCAATTTGATTATATTCCGTATTTTTCGCTCCATAAAACGCACCTGATCATAAAACGCACCTTGATTTTAGAGGAGGAAAACAAGAAAAAAAATATTCTGAACCAATGGACTGCAGAGATAGTACAGGAAATGACCAGATACTGCAGACATTGTACAGGAGATGACCAGTGACTGCAGACATAGTACAGGAGATGACCAGAGACTGCGGACATAGTACAGGACATGACCAGAGACTGCAGACATAGTACAGGAGATGACCAGAGACTGTGGACATAGTACAGGAGATGACCAGAGACAGCCGGCATAGTACAGGAGATGACCAGAGACTGAGGACATACTAAAGGAGATGACCTGAGACTGCGAACATAGTACAGATGACCAGAGACTGTAGACATATTACAGTAGAGATGACCAGAGACTGCGGACATAGCACAGGAGATGACCAGAGATTGCAAACATACTTCAGGAGATGACCAGAGACTGCGGACATACTACAGATGACCAGAGACTGTGGACATACTACAGGAGATGACCAGAGACTGCAGATATAGTACAGGAGATGACAGAGACTACAGACATAGTAGAGGAGATGACCAGAGACTGCGGACATACTACGGGAGATGACCAGGACTGAGGACATAGTACGGGAGATGACCAGAGACTGTAGATATAGTACAAGAGATGACCAGAGACTGCAGACATACTACAGGAGATGACCAGAGACTGTGGACATAGTACAGGAGATGACCAGAGACTGCAGACAAAGTATAGGAGATGACCAGAGACTGCGGACATAGTACAGATGACCAGAAACTGTAGACATATTAGAGGAGAGATGACCAGAGACTGCAGACATAGTACAGGAGATGACCACAGACTGCGAACATACTACAGGAGATGACCAGAGACTGTGGACATACTACAGATGACCAGAGACTGAGGACATACTACAGATGACCAGAGACTGTGGAGATACTACAGGAGATAACAGACTGCAGACCTTTGGGGAGTGGGGGGGGGGGCGGGTACCCGAATTTGACAGGTACCCGCTCCCACTTCGTGGAGTTGTCCTCCCCATAGTCTTGTGGGACACGTGACAGGTCTCAAAAGACTACAGGTGGCCATTCGCAAAGCGTAGCGCTTCTTGCGCATGCACAGTGGGCACCCGGTTGTGAAACTGCAAGCTGTCACAGCCGTGTGCCCACACTGAAGATCCCGACACCGGGGAGAGAAAACGGCCTTTGAAAGCAGGACACCGCTGGACCGAGGAACAGGTAGGACCAAGGAGCAGGTTCTTCTGCACAGTAGAGCCGAGCGACCAACCTGGTCCGGCCGCTTCATATTCACTCCATAAGATGCACAGACATTTTCCCACATTATTTTGGGGGAAAAAAGTGCGTCTTATGGAGTGAAAAATACGGTAGTTAAGGACCTAATATTATTAGTTAACTTTTGCTATGAATTGTCTCATTTTATTTTAATTTATATGTCTGTTTTGTTGCTATTCACATACAATACTAACAATAATTATAATTTAATTATCATATACCAAGAACAGTGCCATGTTTGCCATATTGCCACTTTATTATATGGCTTATTTTGACTGACATTTGCTGTTCTAATTGACCACATGATACTTTAAGAGATTTTCAGCTATACAGACAGGATGTCACATAATAAAATCTGTCTCTGTGGCAGAATAATAATAATATTAATAATAATAACAGACTATGATGTATATATTTCTGTTTTTTTGCACGATGTATGAATACTGAACTGCAGTAAAATAAAATCCAAATTTTCTTTTGTGATTTGAAATAACAAGGTGCAAAACAAATCCCCTGCCTTAATTCCTCAACATTAAATTAATAACAATTTCAATGAACAATAATTACTCACACATGGTTAGTATAACCAGTATATTATCTCATAGACTCGATTTGTAAAGAGGAATAAGTATTTGAGGCATCATAATAAAGTATAATTAACTACTTATCAGTTGTAGATATTTGTAAAATAGGCTATAATTACTTTTTCAATAGACATATTAGTTTACTTTTAGCAAATCTGCTTTATGGATTATTATAGGGTTTTGTATAACAACCTAACAGAAAGAAAAAAAATACAATTATTGCCAATCTAAAATTGCGCTATAATATTAACCATTTCAATACCGGGCAATTTTACACCTTCCTGCCCAGGCCAGTTTTTTACGTTTCAGCGCTCTCACACTTTGAATGACAATTGCGCGGTCATACAACATTGTACCCAAACTAAATTTTATCATTTTCTTCACACAACTAGAGCTTTCTTTTGGTGGTATTTAATCACCGCTGGGGTTTTTATTTTTTGCTAAATTAACAAAAAAAGACCAAACATTTTGAAAAAAACCCACGTTTTTCTTTGTTTCTGTTATAAAAGTTTACAAATAAATAATTGTTCTTCATAAATGTAGGCCGAGATGTGTTCTGCTACATGTCTTTGGTGAAAATAACCCAAATTAGGATGTATTATTTAGTTTGTAGGAAAGTTATAGAGTTCACAAACTATGGTATAGATCTGAAAATTGATCAGTCCTGAAGTACTGACAGCCAATCTAATTTCTTGAGGTCCAAGAAAGTCAGAATAGTACAGATATCCCCCAAATGACCCCTTTTTGCAGAGTAGACAGTCCGATGTACTTCATAAGAGGAATGGCGAGTTTTTTGAAGTTGTATTTTTTTTGTCATAATTTTTTCGGAAAATTAAAAAATTTAAAAAAATATTTTCACTATTTTTTTTTTACATACTGTCACCAGCGCAGTACAGCATCATCATATAACTGGCATAGTGGTGAACAGGGATACTGACTGGTGACAGTATGAAAAAAAATATATATATTTTTTTATTTTTTTATTATTTTTAATTTTTAATTTAATTTTTTTTTAAGATTTTTTTTTCATATTTTACTATGACCAAAGTAGTACAATGTTACCATAGTAACATTGTACTACTTTGGGGAAGTGATCAGTATTTTTTTTTTTTTTTACACAATTTGCTTATAGCAAAGAATTACTTTGCTATAAGCAAGCATTTACCTGAATGACATCGATTCATTCAGGTTCTTTTTTTTTTTTTTTTTTTTTTTTGTGCTTAGCTGTGATTTGGCCACAGCTAATCACATGACATGTGCATGTGACCTGCTGTGACCATTCATAGCTAGGCACTAGTATACAATGGATGGCATGAATGAAGCCATCCATTGTATACAACTGTCATGTGACCTGCTGTGATTGGTCACAGCAGGTCACATGGTACTGGCAACGGGGGCTGGTACTCAGATCTGTCATTGGCCGTGTCCGAGGTACACGGCCGGTGACAGATCGCGCCGCTGCACGGCTCTGCAACCGCGTGAACTGCGCATGTGCGGGAGGACGCCAAATGGTGTATACCCTGGAAAGCTACAGCATTTTTGCGGCCGCCAAACGGCTATAGGCCGGGCAGCTAATGGTTAAATTTGATTCAACAGTTTCTTTCAAAATAAATAAAATGACATGATCAATATGTAAACATTACTTACGTTAAAGAACTTTTTTACACTTACGTTTATAAATTGTTGCAAATAATTAAGGCAAACACACATATAGTTATACCAGAGACTTAAGTATTTAATGTCTGTTTGATGTTCTGTTGTAGATAGTAATTGAATGCACAAAGATCAATTATGTCAAGACATCAATATTTAACACCTTACTTTACAACATAGTACACATGAAATTAAATATGGGTGTCCATTTTCTTTAATGGTTAGATTAAAGGACATGTTTGTTTGACATTAAAGAACTAATCTAGCCAACAGTGAAACGTCAGGGTTAAAGTGAAAGTATACAGTATTTTTAGTGAGGACGTCGTTTGTGTTAACTTTGTTCACTTTAAATTAAAATTTGGGGTGACTTTTACATTTTTAGAAGCTTGCTCATTTTTATTAGGTCACTATTAGCTGTTTCAGTCACTTAGCATAACTGCTCAACAAATATTCAGAAAGGCTATCAACAAAACAAAGTATCTTTAGTCAGTCAGCTGCCTCTTAGATATTCATTGTGAGAAGGAGCAGTAAAGCACAACCATAGTGTAGCACTGCAAAGAAGGAAGCAGAGTCTTAGTATGTCATGAGCAAATATTACTGCTCCCATGTACATATATGATTACAAATCATACATAGAAACACAATAAACATTACATTGATAACACTATTTACATAATACATCATGTTGATTTCTTTTACATCTGTTACTAAAAAAATCAATAAAATTACACTGTTCCATTTTTGAGCTATTCACGCCTATCATTTGCAGTGTATTGCAGTAACTGGTGTGTAAAAATAATGCATGACAGTGCACCATACAAACATCAGCGCATTGTGGTGTCAATAATTTTCAATGTCCCCCCAATGGAGATGCTTTGCAGCACACCGCAAGGTGTGGTATTGCACTACCATGTTTTGTAATGAGCTACATCGATCTGTTGGTTGTTCTGTTTTGGCTCTTTTGGCAGGCCAATCAAATGGAGTAGACTTAATGCAACATATGTTAATGCACAAGTTAACCTGCATGTGATTACTCATAAAATCCCCTTTAGACCTATTCATACTGGTCCCCTCATTGTGTGTTGTAACACACAACAGGAGGACCAATGTGAATGGGTCTAAGTGGGATTTCATGAGGTTTTTTTTTTCATTAAATTTTATTTGATTTTCCAATATAAAAAGAACAACATATTTACAAAAAATAATTCACATATACCCATTCCATTTATACCCCCTAATACCTCCCCCCTATCCCTATCCCCTTCCCCCCATCCTCATCCTCTTCCTGACATTTCCTTTCCCATATTTATCTACTTGTCTCTTTATCTCCAACATTGCTCTCCCTCAAAATCACAATTAAGACCCCCTCCTGGCTTCTAATTTTCTCCACCAATACCCACCAATTCCATATATCTTTCAGAGGTTTTAAATTTCAACCAACTACACCATGTTTTCCTGAATTTTTCCATTTTATCCTCCTCTATATGACATAACTCCTCCATCCTATAAATATTTTCAACTCTATCTATCCATTCGTTAATTTCTGGTGCTTAAGGAACCTGCCAAAACTTGGGAATCAGACTCTTAGCTGCACTAATTAGATGATAAAGTACCCTGTTTTTTATATAATTTCACTGAGGGCTCAAAGTTATAGAATAAACAACTCCAGGGATCTCTCTCACAATTATCCTGCATATCTCCTGAATATAATGAATTATTTCTCTCCAGTAATCCTGTATTTTTGGACAACCCCACCATATATGAGCCATTGTACCCCTTTTTCCACATCCTCTCCAACACAAAGGTGATGTGTCTACTTGTTGTCTGTGAGCTATGTTTGGTGTAATATACCATCTAGTTAAACATTTATAATTCATCTCCACTGTGCTCATATTTGTCGCCTCATGTGTTAATTCAAAAACTTTATTCCATTGCTGTACACTCAATTCTGTTCCAATCTCTTTTTCCCATTTTTTCAAGAACCCCGGATGATCAGTTCCTTCTATAGCCATTAGGATCTTATAAATCCAAGAAGTAACATGTTTTGAGATTATTTTTTCATTTAACAGTTTTTCAAATGGATACATGTCCTCAATAGTTGAGGGAGACTTGAAACAACGTGATTTAGTTGATAATACCTCCACTCATCAAATGTGATAAATAAATCTTTTTTCTTCTTTAAATTTTGAAAAGTGTGCATTTTCCCTTCATTCAATATATCCTTCAAACGTGCATTCTTATCCTTTAACCATTTACCAAATATATTATCCTTCCCTGGAGGGAAATATCCAAAGGAGTCAATATTGAATTATATTTCCATCCTTTTTGACTATGCATTCTATCCCATACACTTAAGACTTTCCTTGTCAGTGAACTAATATTAACATCCAATGTGCAAAATTTATGTGGAATCCATACAATCTTTTCTAACTGTGCCTTACCTACAATCCCTTCCATCTTCACCCATCCTTTCCCTTGTGAATTAAATGTCCAATCCACTATTCATGATAAAATTACTGCCAAATAGTAATTCCTAACAAGGGTAAGCCCAG